GTATATATATTTGGTAGAGATGAGGTCTTCCTATGTTGCTCAGGCTGGTCTCGAACTCTTGACCTCAAGTGATCCTCCTGTCTCAGCCTCCCAAAGTGCTGGGATTACAGGTGTGAGCCAGCACACCCAGCCAGAAAAATAGTTTTATCTATTTTAATCTTAGGAGAAAATAAGAAATGAATATAGGAATATTTCCCTTGTGCTTGGATAGACAGAGCTGTCTTGTGACAAGAGAATAGCAAAAGTCACCTATCTGGTTTGAGATAATGTTTTGGGGAACCAGAAAAGAGCCCAAATAGCCAAAGCAACCTTAAGCAAAAGGAGAAAATCTGGAGGCATCACTTTACCAGACTTTAAGCTATACTGCAAAACGATAGTAACCAAAACAGCATGGTACTAGCACAAAAATAGGTACAGAGACCAATGGAACAGAACAGAGAACCCAAATATAAAACATATTGCCATCTGATCTTTGGCAAAGTAGACAGCAACATATCCTGGGGGAAAGAATCCCTATTCAATAAACAGTGCTGGGAAAATTGGATAGCCACATGTAGAAGATTGAAACAGGATCCATCTCTCTCACCACTCACAAAAATTAATTCAAGATTTATAACAGACTTAAATCTAAGACATATGAATTCTAAAAGAAAATGTTGGAAAAACTCTTCTAGATTCCGGCCTAGGCAAAGAATTTATGAAGACAACTCCAAGGGCAATCACAGTATCAACAAAAATAAATAAATGGAACTTGATTAAATTAAAAGCTTCTGCATAGCCAAGGAAACAATCAACAGAGCAAATAGACAACCTATAGAATAGGAGAAAATATTTGTATGCCATATATTTGATAAAGGGCTAATAACCAGAATCTACAAAGAACTCAAGCAATTCAATAAGAAAAAAAATCAAACAACCTCATTAAAAAGTGGGCAAAAGACATGAACAGAAGCTTTGCAAAAGAAGATAGACTATTGACCTATAAACATATGAAAAAATGCTCAACATCACTAATCATCAGAGAAATGCAAATCAAAACCACAATGAGATATTACTTAACTCCAGTGAGACTGGCTTTTATCAAAAAGCCCCAAAACAATAGATGCTGACATGGATGCAGAGAGATAGGAACACTTATACTCTGCCGGTGGGAATGCAAACTAGTGCAACCTCTATGGAAAACAGTATGGAGATTCCTCAAAGAACTAAAAATAGACCTACCATTTGATCTAGCAATCCCACAACTGAGTATTTACCCAAAGGAAAAAAAGTCATTTTACCAAAAAAATACCTGCACTAGAATGTTTATTACAACACAATTCACAATCAAAAAGATGTGGAATCATCCCAAGTGCCCAACAATTCATGAGCATATTAATAAAATGTGGTTTATGTATACCATGGAGTACTACTCAGCATAAAAAAATGCAACAATCTGGAGGGAACTGGAGACCATTCTCTTAAGTGAAATATCTAAAAAATGGAAAAACAAACACCACATGTACTCACTATTAAATTGGAACTAACTGATCAGCACTCATGTGCACAGATGGAAGTAAAACTCAATGGAAATCATGCAGGTGGGAGGGTGGAGGGGATGGGTGAAATTATACCTAACAAGTACAATGTACACTATCTGGGTGACAGGCACATACTTATAACTTTGACTCAAGCAGTACAAAAGCAATCCATGTAACCAAAACATTTGTTCCCCTGTAATATTCTGAAATTAAAAAAATAATTAAAAAAACAAAAAAACGTTTTTAGAAAGGACATTGTAAAGCTATGTATTAATGTAATACAAGCTATTGTTTCTGTTGCCGTTTTTGATTAAAATAAGACAGCTGAAAGGAACCCTAGATAGAATCTAGGCTAACTCCATCTTACTGATGCCTGTGTGGACACTGAGGCCTATTTGGGTCAAGTGTATTTATTTCCCAAGAGCACAGGCCAAATAAACAGTGTAGATTCTAGATTCAGATAAACTCTATTTGAAGCCCAGTGCTGCCACTTCCTATTTTATGATCTTAGGGCGGGGCAGCACCTCAGAGAGGTGAAGAGTGGAGTTGTACAGAGTGAATAGAGTTTGCCAGAGGGGCAGGCAATCCAGACAGAGGGAAGAGTATGTCTCAAGAGGGAGGTGTGAGAGGGAGAGCAAGCTGCATGAAGGAGGGGATGCAGGTGGACACAGCTGGAGCACTTGGAGCTACTGGGGAGGGAGGCAGTTGTCCTGCCTCTAGAAGAAGAAACTCCATGGCCAGCTTTTTTTCTTGCTATTTTGGTATTACTTTGTATCAATAACATACCCAAAGAAGACTGAATTGCTACAAACCCTAGCCTATTCACAGGTGAGATCATAGGGCACTATGGTCTTGAACTCCTGGGATCTAGCAATCCTGATCCTCCTGCCTCAGCTTCTGGAGTAGCTGGGACTACAGGCTCATGCCACCATGAAGACTGTTTCTTTTCCCCTCAATTTTTCAAAAACGTATGCAAACGTGCTGCTTGATGAATTTGCACAGAGTACACACATGTAACTAGCTTCCAGAATAGAAAATTACCTGCACCCAAAGGCCCCTCATGGCCTCTTCCAGTCACCAACCCTGTACTCACCACCCCACAACAAAGCAGTGACCCTCCTTTTTTTTTTTTTTTAAAAAAAAAAGCATTCCCCAAGGTAAGACAGAGCTTAGCTTGTTCTTGTATAGTATGCATTTGCATGTGGCTTCTTTCATTTGCATTGCAAATAAGCAGTTAGTTATAGGTCTGTTCATTCTCATCACTGTATAATATCCTAAACTTTTTTTTTGAAACAGTTTCCTAAGCCCACAGAAAAGCTGAAAGACTAGTACAACGAACACTCATATAACTTTTACCTAGAACATGAATTGCTATTATCTCCACTTTACAGATGAGGAAACTAAGAAGAGCAATTAGGTAACTAGCCCAGGATCTAGTTTTGCCTAGTTTGCTGCTTAGTCAGTCATAAGACTATGGGTAGATCCCATAACTTCTCTGAGACTGTTTCTTTATTATTAAAACGGAAATAATAATCCCCTCTCCATCAAGTTTCCAGACTGTTATGAGGCTCAAATAGGAGCCACACGTGAAAGTGCTTTGTGAAGAGTAAAGTGGTGGTACTCGAAAGGAGTATTGTTAACAATGCAGGCTCCTGGGTCCCACCCCCTGTAGATCCTTTCTCAGTAGGTCTGGGGTAGGAGGCAGAATGCTTTAATAAGCACCCAAGGTGATTCTGATGTGCCACTCCATAGACCACTCCATGAAAAGACACTTAGGTAAAACAATGGTTCTCAAACTTTAGAAACTATCAAAATAATCTGGAGGATTTATTAAAACACGGATTGCTGGGCCCACACTCAGAGTTTCTGATTCATTAGGTTTGGGGTGGGGCCTGGGGATTTGCATTTCTAACAAGGTCCCATGTGATGTTAATGCTGCTGTCCAGGACTCCCACTTTGTAAATCACTGCTGCATTGTATTTGCAAAGCTTAGTTATGAGTACTACTGGCTATTTTAATAATCCAGGAGAACTTTTGATTAAGAGTGACTTTTAAGCAATAATAGAGTAGTATTTATAAAAAATAATTGGCCACACACAAACTGAAATTTAATTTATTTCAACAACTATTTATTGAACACCTGCTCAGTGTAGGTATTATTATGTGTGCTAGGGGTTACAAAAAGAAAAAAGAAATTTCTTAACCTCAAAGAAAAAGAATGTATAAACAAATAATATTGTGTGATAAAGGCAAGCATAAAGTACAGAGGTACAGCAGAGGTGTTTGAGTGATGGATTCCATCTAAGGTATTCAGGAGATCTTCCTGGGGATAGTGGCATCTGACCTGGGTTTTTCCTTTCTAGCCAAGACCAGGGTTTTGGAGGATAAATTCCCAGTGGACAAATTGGAGAAAACAGCATGAGCAACGACACACGGGAATCCTACACTAAGATGTGTTCAAGGGACTATAAGTGAATCGGTATGGCTAGAGCTTAAAGTTTAAGAGGTAAACAAGAGAGAAGAGACTCCTGAGAGAGGCAGGAGCCAGACCCTGGAGGGCCCAGGAGCCATAATAAACTCCTGGAGGGAAGCAAACAAAACACTGAAAACCTTCAGGAATCTCAGTTTGGCCCAATCCATGGTAATGGCCTTGTACTTCCCAGCACTGCTTTACTGCACACACCCTCCTTAATGGGATTGTATACATCCCACCTTCAGTGTTATTCTTGCCACCAGTTCAATGCTCTCACAGACTCATGAAGCTGAAAGAGAGTTGGGGATGCAGGATTTCGTGTGTTTCATCTTTTGTGGGTTTGGAGAGTCTGGTCCCACATTAGTCCCTGGGGCCCTATTCTTCACAGTCAAATAAAAGCAAAAGAAAGCTTGCTCATCTTTAAAGAGAGGAAGTGACTCACAGGTTAAAAACAAAAAAGGAAAAGATGGAGGCATTTTATAGGTGAAAGGGCAAGAGTCTGGATGCAAAATAAGATGTCAGATTAATGAGAAGTCATGGGAGCAGGGATGGATTAACAACAGACAGACCCAACATTTGCTTACAGTATCAAGAAAGCCAGAAAGCTGGAATACCAAAAATAAAAGAAAACCATAATTTGATTGTTTAAAACACTGAAAATGTCAACACAGGAAAAAAACAAAACCAGAACTGTTTTGGACTTCCAAACACTTATTTTATGGCTCAGTATTATATTTTATTTTAAATTACATGGGGGGAGGAGGGAAGTAAATACTATCATTTTTCTTAGTAAGGGCTTTTAGATATTAATTCAAACATGTATAAGGGATACATTTTTAATGGGCCAGTCTGAAGCTTTAAATATGATAAACAGTATCTGTGTGCATGCAACGCTGGTTAAGTAATTGAGGCGACTGCCTTTGAGGGCTTCCCACAGTTTAAACTCCATAGCTTGACATACAAAGCCGGTCACCGGGGCCCCAGCGCTACAGCCTTCTCCCCTAGTTCCAACTCCAGAGCGGAGGACCCGCGGGCGGCGGACGCCAGGCTTCCTCCTACCTCACCTTCCAGCTGTCCTCTCTGGTGTGCCTAGGTGGGCGAAGGCCGAGGCCTGTGACAACTTCATCTGGAGAGCCTCCCTCGCCCACTTGGGAAGGAGTCCACGGAATCCTACCTGGCCCCTGGAGGTTGCACAACTTGTTTGGTCAAATAATCTGGTTCAAGCCTCTGCATTTTACACAAGAAAAAAATGGGACTCAGATGTCAACGATTTAAGTTGCCTTTAAAAGTAACGCATACAATGTATACAATGTATAAAAGTAACGCTCCCGAAACACACTCGCACAAAGTGGGCCATCTCGCAGAAGCTTGGGCAGCTGTCATTCGGAGTGATTGGGAATTAAGTCTTGCGGAGAAAAAAAAGAGAGGGCCAACCAAATGGTATTCTAAGGCCCTTTGTGGAAATTCCGATTCAACTTTAAATGAGAAGTATGTTTGAGGAATTGACTTAAAAAAGCAGTAAAACAGAAGTCTCTACAGGTCCGTCGTTGGATTAGAATTTCACAAAACTTTAAAAGTTATTTGTTCCCTAAAATAAACAGCCTAGAAGCCATTGTTTCCATTTTAAAAGAGTTCTATTCGGAGGACTGATGCTAATCAACAAGTTAGCATTAATTGGCCTGAGCTTTTCAAAACCCCAAAGCCGGCCTGGAAACCGGCCTCTCACGACCCCTGACCCAGGCAGCCCTCCCCAAGACCCGCTCCCCCGCAGACCCCGCACACAGGCAGGGCCCCCACCCAGACTGGGGTCCCCTCCAGTGAGACCTGCCCTCCCTTGCCGGCAGGCTCCTCTCCGCCCAGGCAGGGCCCTTGGCCCAGGCAGGACTGCCCCGTCCCCCAGACTGGGGCCCCCACCACTCTCGGCGGGCCAGCAGTGGGGGAAGACCCCGCAAGCGGCTGAGGGAGACACTCGGGATTTGCCACCGGCTGTTCCGCGTCCCCAAGGCCGCTGGTCACGTGGCGCGGAGGCGCGGGGGAGGGGCGGCGCGGCGAGGTATATAGTCCCGGAGCCCGGGCCGCACTCCTCGTACGGTCGGAGTTGCCGGAACCTGCTGCGGGACTCGCCTGGCGCTCGCCTCTTCGCCGCCGTCGGTCGGTGGGTGCGCGTCCCCTCGGGGCGCCTGCAGTGCTGAGCTGGGGGCGGGGGGCTGCTCGGGGCTGGAGGCCGCTGCCCTGCTCCACTCGGGGCTCGTGGCCCGGGGACCCACCAGCCTGGCAGCTTCCGGGTCCTGGCTGGGAAGGGGCGGCCTCCTGGACCCGCGCTTTCGAACCTGGCTTTTGTTGGTCGAGGCTTCTTCTCTGCGCTGGGCTTTAGTATCTCTTGCCCTCCCTGGATGGTTGTGGGGAAACAATTTCCATTTGTCCCAACGGGACAATATTTAAAGGAAAACGCGTTAGAAAATCGTCTTTAGGCAGGATTTTAAGGGGTGCAGAGCGACAGGGGGGCAGTCGATACTGGCGCCCGACTTCTTCCTGCGGGGCGGTGCTTACCTTTTGGAGCAGAGCTGGGACGCGGGTGGCGGGAGGCAGCGCTGCGTCGCCCGAAAGTGGTGGGCGGCGGCCGTGCGGGTCCTTCCCTAGCAGCTCTGCCGCGGGCGTTTTGTGTGGGTGTGGGTCGTTGGGGATACTAAATGGACTTTTAAACGCGTCCTGAAATGTTTCTCAATCCCTCGGAGCACTTCTTGCCATTGTGCGTAGTCTAAACTAAGACGTGCAGAAGACTACACTAGGTTATCTTGAATTCTTCTCTACTTGAAATGAGCATTTGTTTGGGTTGGGGGAATGGATCTAGGAGAGTCTTTTCCCAGTGTCCTGAAATAAATTTCTCTTCCGCAGATACCTTCTTTCTCCAGGAAGAAAAATGGCATCTGTTGCAGTTGAGCCACAACCGGTATGACTTTTAAATAGCCGTTTCTTGACTCCTTTCTCTCCCTTTATGTTGGAGAAGTTAATAACTGCCCCCTGCCCTTTGGTTGCAGAGCGTGGTGACTCGGGTGGCCAACCTACCCTTGGTGAGCTCCACGTACGACCTCATGTCCTCAGCTTATGTCAGCACAAAGGATCAGTATCCCTGCTTGAAGTCCGTGTGTGAGATGGCAGAGAAGGGCGTGAAGACCATCACGTCGGTGGCCATGACGAGTGCTCTGCCCATCATCCAGAAGCTAGAGCCACAGAGTGAGTTCTGAGTTTTCCCTCAGGTGCAGTCGGGGGCTGGCTGGGCTGAGGCGAGCCCCTGAGCTGACAGAGGCAACATCGGGGAATCCTCAGCCCTTCCTGAGGCACATCCTGCCTTTACCTAGAAATTGCGGGGCCAGCCCTCGTTGTCATAGGAGGCCTACTGCATAGCAATGGCAGGTGTTCGTGACGCTTTAATAAAAAACTTTCAAGAGACGCTTCTGTGTTGGCAACCGAGATCATGAGGAGGCATCCAGGGGTGAACTGAAATAACTGACTTTCTTAGGACCACACAGTGTATGAACATGAACTTCTTTTTTGTTTTTAATAACATCTTTATATTGAGGTACAATTAACATACCATACAGTATACCCATTTAAAGTATACAATTTCATGGTTTTTAATATATTCACAGAGTTGTGCAATCATTACCACAATCAATTTTAGAACATTTTTATCACTCCAGAAAGAAATCTCAAACCAGTTTCTGTCTGGGATGATGAAAATGTTTTGGAAATGGACAGTGGTAGTGGTTGTGAATGAACTTAATGCCACTGAAGTGTAAACTTAAAAATGGTTAAAATGGTGATTTGTGTTATGTGTATTTCATCAAAATAAAAAAACAATGGAAACCTCATGCTCGTTAGCCATCACTCCCTGTTTCCTTCCAACTGCCCTTAGGCAGCTACTAATCTACTTTCTGCTGTATAGATTTGCCTATTCTGGACATTTCATAAAATATGTGGTCTTTTGCTACTGGCTTCTTTTTTTTGAGACAGGGTCTAGCTTTGTTGCTTGCGCTAGAGTACAATGATGTCATCATAGCTCACTACAACCTCAAACTTCTGGGCTCAAGTGATTCTCCTGCCTCAGCCTCCCAAGTATTAACAGCTGGGACTGCAGGTGCACGCCACCACACCTGGCTAATTTTAAAAATTTTTTGCAGAGACAGGGTCTCACTATGTTGCCCAGGCTGGTCTCAAACTGTTGGTCTCAAGTGATCCTCCCACCTTGGCCTCCCTAAGTGCTGGGATTTTAGGTGTGAGCCACCATACCTGGCCTGCTACTGGCTTCTTTCACTTAGTGTAATGTTTTCAAAGTTCATTCGTGTTATGGCATCATATGAGTACCTCATCCCTTTTATTGTGGAATGATATTTCATTGTATAGATAGACTATATTTTATTTGTTC